GGACCAGGACTATCGCGCGCTTCATACTTGAATCAGAAGAAACACACCTGAGCTTTTTTATTTTTATATTTTAGTAAGTAATTTATTACCTGCTGGAAATTTATAGATAAAAATCTGATGTATTTTTTGCAATCTGATGAAGTAATTTATATAATTTTTGTATATCAACAATTGTATACTTGGTGTTGGATTCTAGCTCACTTCGAGAGCCTTGGTGTCTGGATAAATGTAGACATTCATCACTGGCATATTTAAATGATCTCCAAAAGGATTTGTTTGTAGGACGAAGAATTTCCTATGTTTGAAAGTGTTCTAGAATGAGGCTAAAAACCATATTTTTTAAAATGGAGAACCTGATGGCTGATGCTAGAAACAACTAAACATGTCCCTGCTGGACAGTGACTGAGACTATCGTATTTTTATCTATGTTTTCACAGAATTTTATATTTATATTGAAAGAAATGTTATTTATGCTTAAAATAAAAAAGCAGAGTATACACCAAATAAGTACTGACTCCTGTTTCACTGGCATTTTGAGTAAAACAAAACACCAAAACAGTAAGAGAGAGCTGGGATGGCAGATATCTGTCAAAGCCTTCATCTGCCTCGCCTTGGAAAGGGGGAAATCTGGTGGTGGGGTGTCCGTGGGGGTTATAGGAGAGAAAGAGGCAGGAGAAGGGGTCTGTTTTGGTCTAGAGATTTTAAAGAGGCAAAAACACTAGTGTTTTGAATCTGTCTTGACTGATTTCTGCCTAACAGGCAACTGAAAGGAATTACCCTGTAAAGTTTCAGAGAGATTAACACTGAGCAACCATGTGACTGTCTGGAAGGAGGGTGGTGTTGAGGGGATGAAGAGAACGAGTGGAGTGCCCTGCTTTGCAAAACTGGTGAGTCGAGTGTGTGCATTAGAGGGCGGATAGATGCAGGAAGGGGTTTGGAGTACGCCCGGTCTTCGTGAAGCCATCCAGTGCAAATGACCATCTCTGCCATCTGGGATTTCTGTATATTCACTGACCTTAAGTAAGACAAACATAGGAAACTGCATATCCCTTTCTCAAAGGGGGGAAAAAAAAGTGAAATTTGAACCCTAGATCCTTGATTCCTCATCTATGAAAGGAGATTGCGTCTCAGATGTTCCTGAAGATGACTTGTGACAGTAAATGTCCCTATTACTGCCCCTACACCTGTCACTCATCATGTACCCCATCCAGCTGCTGCCTAATTGTTTTAATTTAATCTTTGAGTGTAGTTGGATAGGGTAGAGTTAAAAATCAGGACAATTTAGACAGAAAAGTATAAAGAATGGCAACTTTGCATGTAATTCTAGGCTCACTAGAATATATATAGTTATATATATATAAAACTATCTCATTTAAAGGTGAAAAATCCATCTAAAAACCTGGTCTCCACAGTCTGCCAAATGAGACTCCTCCAAATCTTTAGCGAAATGCAATCAGAGTGCCTGGCAGCTCATAGGCATATTCCCACATTCCCTCCCAATGTTTGTGCTCTCTTGGCTTCTTTGCTAAAGGCCTCTCCCCCCCGTCCTTAGCAAGACTGTGTGCTGGGACTTAAAGACCAGATTGATGTATAAGAGTGAAATCCATGAAATTAGATAGTGAGCCGTAAGGGGAAAGTGCTGATTGGAGGTCGTAGGTGAGTATCATGATTAGCATGCTGAGTAGAGAAGGCAAACAAGGATGAACCGGCAGGTGTGGAACATCGGATACAACTATTTGCTGTTTTGAGCAGCTCCAGGCACCCAAAGCTGCCTGCAAATCTTGGATAATGACAATTGATCACAGCTCACTCTCTGAGAATTTTAACAACGTGTCATGTTGCTTTACCATATCAGGGACTTTTGCACTTGGAGCAAATTGTACACATAGAAATTGAGTTTAGACTTTCTAAACTCAAACAAATTGGATGTCTTACCAGTTTTTAATACCTTGGGAGATGGAAGTGGGGGAGCGGAGAGGACAAGCAATTTTTCAGCTAGTCTGAGAGCCTAATAATAATAACAGTAATGATGATGATAATGAAATGGTTCATGTTTGCATTCACCGTCATACACATTGCTCCTTACAATGCTCTAGGGGATGTAGAATAGTTGTCATTATTTAAAAATTTATTATTATTAGCAAATGTTATGGATAGAGAATTGGTACCTTCCTAGGTTAAGTGGCTTGCTCCAGATTGTAAAATACTGGAAACTGGAGCCAGTTCTTAGGTCTTGTAGCGTACACTTTGCCTCTCCTCTGATGACGCTTAAGATAATCTCCATCTTTCCAAATGCTAGAAAATGCAAACTCTGCAACACCAACATATGGTCCTTCCCCACTATTCCTCCCCTCCAACACAGTGTCCCCCTGGCCCACGACCTCGATGTGGACTTCCCTGGGTTCCAAGTCTCTGCTTGGCAGGAGAGAAAGCCAGGAGAAGTAGGCCTAGGCCAGTCTAAGTGGGACCTGGGAAAGCATGAGGCAGGTCAGGGCTCTGTTTTCTGTGTCCCTCCCTGCACATCAGCTAGAGCACAAACACTTAACTCTGACTCCAGGATTTAAAAGCTGAGTGACTCTGGAAAAGTTACTTAATCTCTCTGTGCCTTGCTTCCTTGCCTATAAAATGTAGATAATCACAGAATCCACCTCATAGAGTTGTTTTGAGAGTTTTTGAGCTACTACTCGATGGGTTGGAGGTGTTTGCTATGATTGGTGCTTTATGACCTGAATACCAGGACTGCAGATCAAGAATGCAGCCTTCTGTCCACAAACATGTTTGAGCTCTCCCGTCTTACAGGAAACAAGGCATGTTTGTTTTGTTTGACAAGCTGCTTTCCTTGTAATCCTCTCAAAGCCAAAGTGTTGGAAAGAGAGACTGCAAAGTGCCTGACTCTGCTTCCTCACCTTGAGTCATCCCACCTCTTCCTGAAACTCTCACCCTTTCACTGCCATCTTCCTTTCAAATCCACTGATTCTCCCACCCCCGCCTTTACCATTTCCTTGGCTTTTTTTTTTTAAAGGTATTTGTTTTTGCTAACCAGTCTCTTCTTGGAATACGGTTCTTGCTTGGCTTTAGTGAGATTTCTCTAAAATTTCCTTCCTAATTCAGTTTCTTCTTCCTTCAGGAGCTGTTCTCCTCAGCAGGGAGGCAAGCTTCAACATGCCTCTCTTTTTATTAAGAAATATTTATAAAGCGTGTAATAGTCGTCTTTCCTTTCATCTTCAAGTGCACCTTCTCCGTCTCTGCTTGCATTCTGTTCTAAAACACACACATAGATGAGGTATATGCACACATATACCATTGCATATGTGTGAACAGACACGATATATGTATGCACACGATGTATACACTATTTATGTGCATACCACACACAAACTATATACCCACACACTATAACTACACAGGCAAGCATGTATATATTATATATGTACATATGCACATAAATTATACATGTACATACATTACATGTGCTTGCATACTTTATACACACTATATATGTATATAAGCATTATAGATATACACTTTATGTAGGTATATCAACATTTTATATACACAGAGAAAAACTATATATCTATATCCACCATATGCATACCACGTCCCCCTCTCTCTCCACACCCACACCCACACCCACCCCCACCCACA